TGTATCTCCTGAAGTATAACAGTTTGTGTCAAGCACAAGCCCTCCTCTCTCCCCACAAAGGATTAAAGTTAATCCCCCAGGTTTTAAGGCAGGCAAGCAGGCAACAATGGCCACCAAGCCAGGGAAAACATTGCATCTTTCAGAATACTTCAACTATATGAATACAAATGGCCAAACTGTGTAGGTTTTGTTTTTTTAATGGACTGGGGAAGGAAACCTCTGCGAGCATTTCAACTTCTCCAGACCTTAAGAGTTTCTCCACAGATGGGGATGTTTTAATTCTCATTTCTCTAAACATCGGCAGCCAGATTCAGCTAGTCTAAAAATAAAGTACAAAAAAGAAAGCAGATAAAGGGGCCCTATGATTAAGGAAGCCTCTTGTCCACCAAAGACAAAAGGCAACTAAGGAACGCAGTGTCAGGAGGACCATGCTGGACGTTCCTGATAGTCACCTTATCTCTACCTTTTCCCAGTCCTTTCACGTTCTACATTTTTCAGACAGCAATATCTCAAACTTTTCACACAATGATTTTCTAAGGGCCACCTGACTGACCACCAGGCATGCGCACGACGGTGGGGGCGGAAAGTGCCGTCCAGTCACAGCTGACTTATGGCAACCCTGTAGGGTTTTCACGGCAAGAGACATTCAGAGGAGATTTGCCACTGCCTGCCTCTGCGCCAGGACCCTGGCGTTCCTTGGAAGTGCCCCATCCAAAGACTAGCCAGGGCCGACTCTGCTTAGCTTCCAAGATCTGATGACATCAGGCTAGCCTGGGCTATCTGGGTTGTGGCATAATCACGACAGGGGTTTGTTTGTGAACAAATCACATGTAACGCCCACCAGAGCCCAGGTTTGGATTCAGTGATCCCCAACTGGAATCATAAATGGGCAGAACAGTTCAGCTTGCCCAGGATCTTGTGAAACCCCTGTATCTTCTGCCTGTGCAAGGACCCTAGAACAAGGAGAAATTTTCCAGTGGATTCAAGCCACAGACACCTGTTTGTACGAGAGCCGCACAGAATGTAAAAGTAGCCCTGCTGGATCAGATCAGTGGCCCATCTAGTCTGGCATCCTGTCACACATAGTGGTCAACCAGTTACTCTGGGGGGGGGCAGTAACAGGGCACAGAGTCCACGGCCATTCCTTGATGTGGCTTCCTGGCACTGTTATTCAGAGCAGGGCCGATGTCAGCATACCCTCAGGTGGGGCAGCTTCAAGGGCCCAGGGCTCCAGGCAAGGCCCACTGACCCCCCATAGCAGCCCATTTCCCTGCCTGCTTACTTGTGTTTCACCACCCATGCATCCAGCTGCCCATATCACTCAGTGCCATCAAGGAACGGGCTGCAGGCAGTGCAGATGGCTGTGAGGAGGAGGGCTTGTGAGCAGGACAAGGAAGGATGCACAGCCAGGTGGTGAGACACGTGAGTGGGTGGGTGGGTGAGTGGGTGGGGTGGGGGGCCCTGGGAACTCTCTGCCCAGACCCCCCCAAATCTGGAACTGGCCCCAATTCAGGGGTTTACTGCCTCTGACAATGGTGTCTCCCTTTGTCACCATGGGTAGCAGCCAGAGATAGACGTATCCTCTATGAATTTGCCCAATCCCCTTTTAAAGCCTTTTCTGTCGGTAGCCATCACGACATCCACTAGCAGTTAATTCCACATTTTAAAGACTCATTGAGTAAAAAAATGTTTCCTTTTGTTTATCCTGAATCTACTGCCCCCATAAGCTTCAATGGGTGCTCTCAAGTTCTAGTTTTTTGAAAGAAGTTCTCTTTATTGACTTCTTCTACTCCATGCATAATTTTATAAACCTCTATTGTGTGTGTCCCCCTATTGTGTGTCCCCCCCCAGTCATCTTTTTTTCTAAATGGAGAAGTCACAGTCTCTGTATTTGTTTCTCATAGGCAAGATCCTTCAAACCACTAATCATCATAGTTGCCCCCTTCTGTGATTTTCCCAGCTTTACCAATGTCCTCTGTGAGGTACAGGCAGAGGTCATTTTGGGGGGGATCGTGGGGGATCGCAGTTCCCCCGGGTGAGGTACGGGGGGGGCACATGACGAAGCCCCGCCCCCTGCTTCCGGCCGCCCCGCTTCCGGCCCTCATTCAGCCAGGCAGGAGAAGAGGGAGGGTAAGTTGCTTCCTCCCTGCCTCTCCCCACCCCTGCCTGCCTGGGGCCAGGAAGGGCCTTTGCGGGGCTTCCTTGCACTCCCGCTGGCCTTGCAGTCCACCGCCGGGCCCCTGATGGGGCTCGGCAGTGGACCTGCAAGGCCGGCGGCGGCCGGGATTGTTGGGGGCGGGGGGCGTGGCCTTATGACACACATCTGGTGATGTCAGGGGGTGTGGCCTTATGACACACTTCCGGTGATGTCAGGGGGTGTGGCATACGCTAATGAGTTATGCTAATGAGTTCCCCTAGCTCTGTTTCTACAAAACGACCCCTGGGTACAGGCATTCAAACTGCACACAGTTTTCTAAATGACACTGCACCACAGATCTATTCAGGGGTATTATAATGTTAGTTGTTTTACTTTCAACCCCTTTCCTAAAAAGTCCCAGCATGGAGTTTGACATTTTCATGTTCTCAGCACACTGGGTTGATGTTTTCATTGAGCTATCCACTACGACCCCCAGGTCTCTTTCCATCTCATTCTCAGCAAGTTCAGACCCCCATTCGCTCTTAGTTAAAACTGAGATCTTTGGGCTAAAGCAAGGAGGGAAATTGGATGAGTGGAACAGATGGGTAGGATCCAACCGTGGGAAGTCATGGGAGACTCACTGCCACAGCTGCCAATTCAGAGTGAAGTCTGAGAAGCCCTAGAAAACTGGCAGGTGCCAGAATAGAATGTGAACAGTGAGTTATTTGGGGGTTTGGTTCCAGTACCATTCAGCCCAGTTCAAACTGATTCAGCTGTTGCTCAAGCCAGTCTGTCACCTTTGCGTTATTTATTTTCTACTCATCTCTTTTCACTTGACCATCTGGGTTGATGGTGGCCACAGGAATATCCTACATACAAATTGTGAGCAGTTGTGAAATAAATATAATTAAGTTTCCACATTCACTGGGACATGCCATGAAATAAATACAATTAAGTTTCCACATTCACTGGGAAGTGCCATTTTTAATGGCCCACATGTATTCAGTGGTTAAAGTGAGGATACTGCCAACAGAGAGTGAAATGAATTTACCAGAATGTCTTCTGGTAAGAGCAGTATCAAAAGGCCAGGTTTTTCTGGTGATGGATGAATGGAAAGAAAACATTTTTAATGACAGAAGCAATGAAAAAGGACTGCCCTTTTGTATTCTCAAGGGTCTGACAATAGCAGACCAGACAGTTAACTTCACTCCTTTTATCAACTAGAGTTGCTACCCGTAGAATGACGTCTGTGTTACCATGATAAATCTTTCTCAGGAGATTGTTGTAGGAATAAATATACTTTCTTGCACATTCTCCTTCAGTACTTGTACACAACCCTCACTTTCTGCATTGCAAGCCTGAAAACAAAGCACGGGATGCAATTTAATTCAATAATCAACTGATTTCTCCAGGGGAACAGATTGCTAATGACAACTCCTTTGCCAACGACAACCCTAGGTGCAGTTATAATTCACTCTCACCTTTCAAAAACAGGGTCAGCCTTAACATTGCAACATGATTTAAGAAAACCAGTAATGAAAGATCCTTCTTTGAGACAGGCCAACACAACAACAAAGATTGATAACATCACATTTCAGTTACTGTTTCCCTGACTGCCAGTTTCATGAATCGTTAGAAAGAATCAACAATATGGTTTGCAAAATTTGATAATCACCTGGCAATCCTCCCACGTAGGTCTTTACGGATGACTGTAGGTAATCATCCAGGATGGCCAGGTTTTCTTCTAGCTGTGAATTGCTTAGCTCGCTCTGTCCTGCAGTCCCATCCACAGTGAGCAATATTTGACTGTTGTTGATGGCAATGTCAACCAAGTGCTCCTGCTCATCGCAAATGTTTATTGCCAGTCTGCAAACCACTGTGTTCTCCACTGCCAGAACAACAAACTGAACAGCAAAGCAAGAATAAGGAACAACACAAAAGTGGTACATATTCACACAACTCCCCCCTTACTTTTAAGGCACTCCATTTCAAGTTGCAATGGGCATCCATCCTCAAATATTCTGCATTCCTTTACTTACTGGGGAAACTCTGAACAAAGTTTACTTTGAAGTTAACCACAACACAGTAAGCTCATACTGTTATCCAATACACATGTCCTTGCTGGGTTACCTGACTGCCTTATAATGAATCAGACCATGGGTCTAGCAAGGCCAGTACTGTCTACTCTGACTGGTAGCAGCTTTCCAGGATCTCAGGTTTGCAAGTCTTTCACATCACATTCTACCTGATCCTTTTAATGAGAGATGCTGGGGATTGAACTTGGGACCATCAGCATGCAAAGCGCATGTTCTACCACTCAGCCACAGCCCCTCTTCCTTGAACCTGTCCAGCTGTATCAGTCCATCTAATGTTCTACCACTCAGCCACAGCCCCTCTCCTTGAAACTGTCCAGCTGTATCAGTCCATCCAGTGTCCAGGAAGATATTTTCTCTTCTCTGCTAGTTATTTGACACTAGTGCCTAGGAATTTAAACCCGTCCTGAGGTACAGTACATAGAATTTGTAACAAATTTCAAGTAAACGACTTACTGCATGATCCTAATCCTGCTTATTCTTTATTAGAGTAGTTGCTAAGCTAGCCTCTGAAACTCCACCACTAACCACTATGCATCTTATCTAGCAGTCCATTTGGTTCCTGAGATTCCAGAGAATATTGCCCACATACTTTCAAATACATCGTCACCGCAATAAGAGCAATGAACTTGTTCTTTTTTAAATGATAGCCGAGATTCTCAAAAAGCTTAATTCTGTGCCCTTGACCACATTTTGCACTTCAGAAAAAGGGTGTGTCTCTCACACACAGTCCCGCCAAAACATACTTGCTTGCATAAAGTAAAAGCAGGATGGTTACTGTCTGGCCTACTCATACAAATGAAACAAAAGGGAAAATTTCAAATGAGATCTCTGAATGCCCTTCCACTTCTACTCCTCTCCTTTCCAATGAGATCTAGACATCTGGAACACGATCCTGCAAAATTAGCATTTTTATGTCCTATTCACTTTAAAGGAAGAGCAGAGCATGTGCTTAAATCTCTCCCACTTAAATCAATAAGACCTAAAGTAGTTTAACTTTGGTTTAATTATGCATTTGGTTTACATGAACCAGTCTTGTTGTGGTCCTTCAGCCCTCCAACATACCATATACACATCCAAAAAAATCTATATATATATATACCTGCTGCTTAAGTTTTTTTGTAGAATGATAATCAATAACAGCAACTGACAAAGGGACTGTTGCTTCACTGTTGACTAGGGCAAAAAGCACCCCAGTATCTGTAGCTGGCCGAATCAGAAAGTTTATTTTTACTTCCCATTTCTTCCTGGTTTCATTACTGTTGTGAGGTTGTGCTGGGGAGAGGGAGAGAGAGAGAGAGAGGGGCGTAGTTAACACCAAAATTAAAAAAAAAAGAAAGATTCAAATCATCAAGCAGCAGGTACAATTTACTCGTCTGAGACAACAGCTGCATATACAAAATTTTACACCTGCAAAGGAAAGAAAAGAGCACTGCCAGAATGAAACTATGTCAACATCTCTTCCTCTTCCAATTCACAGAACATCCTGCATCCTTTTAGACTATCTGAAACCAAGGTTAAGGCTCGGATCCAAGTAGCATGAACACAGCTCAGATAGCCTTCCCTCTCTTGTAGCCTGATGCCCTGAAGAGTTAGGGAGCCACCAGAAACAGTACTTTGGATGATGCTGGGAGAGGGTGGGAATTCTTGAAACCCTTCTCTTCTTTACGGCCATTGGTACCTTTACACTCACTGGGGGAAAATACTTATCCTATGGCAGTGTGTGTAGAACTGCCAGGAGATCCTATGATTGTCTGTCAGCCAGAAGTTCTAGCTCTTTAGCATTATACACCACTAGGTGGTGAGCTAGACTTGTTATTAAGGCAAGAGATGTTTCAGAGTTGGTTTGCCACTGCTTGCATCACACACCCCTGCTTAGCTTCAGAAATCTGATGAGATCGAACTGGCCTGGGCTATCCAGGTCAGTGCACTTGGAGGGGGAAAGGTTTGAATCCAAGCTGGAGTTTCTGTAATCAACAGGAAGACCATCAACTTATGGTGGCCGCATTGTTTACCATCCAGCTTGGATATCAGACATCTGCCACAGGCAGTGACTGAACCATCTGATTTTGACAAAACAGATGTAAACAGGACATTGTCTGCATCACCCAGCTGTGCTCTGGATTCAATTTTCACCTACTTCAGTTGTTATGCTTTGTGAATGGATACCACACTAGGGCCCTACAAGCAGAAAAACAACTTTGAAACTCACAGTAGGAAGCCTCCCCCCACAGATGTAAACAGGACATTGTTTGCATCACCCAGCTGTGCTCTGGATTCAATTTTCACTTACTTCAGTTGTTATGCTTTGTGAATGGATACCACACTAGGGCCCTACAAGCAGAAAAACAACTTTGAAACTCACAGTAGGAAGCCCCCCCCCAAATCCTGTATTAAAAAAAAAATCTTTGGCGCAGTACTAGTTAGAACAGAAACTATCTACAAAGAAAGATGTTAACAGCATTTAGAACTGAGTCTGGACAAATCCAAAAAATGGAGTCGAGACAGCAGGAGTAATTGCTTTCAATACAACAATAGTATTTAGGTGCCAAGTATATTTTTCAGGTTCGAGAATTCCATATTTGTATGTAGAACCCACACTTCCCCAATGCTGCAGCTCTTGAATCGATTTGGTAAAAGACAGCAGTTACCACTAGACAATATTTGTGACAGAGCAGAGAGATAGAAGATGGGGTGCTGATTCCTACCTTGTCTTACCTTTAAAAAATTTTTTAAAAGACACATGGTGGAGACTGCTTGTGTAAAAATATGTCCAAATGGCAGCTTCCAAAGGGCTTTCTTAGGCATCCCAGCAAAAGACAGACCATTCCCCCCCACTTCAAGACACGAGGAACTTGCCATACAAAGTAGTCATTTCACACAAGTTCCTATTAAGAGTATTGAGTGTCACAGAGGCAGATTGATCCAAATCTCTGGATACATCTGAATGGGGTGCTCAACAGTGTTCCTGATCTCTGATATTAAAAGTCCAGTTCTTATGTAGCATACTAGATAGATGAGATTCCTGGATTGCTGCCAGATCAAGATTACAAACTTTACTAGAATATCATAAA